ACTCGTCCTCCTCCTCCTGCCCTTCCTCTTTTCCCTCCGTCCATCTCTCCTCCTCCCCCATCTCGACTCCTCCTCCTCTTCGTCCTCGCTATCCTCGTCGTCCTCCTCGTCCACATCCTCCTCCTCCTCTCCATATCCCCCTCTCCTTGCCATATCCCCATCTTCCTGTCATACGCCCCCCCGTTCCCCCTCCCAAAAAAAAAAATAATAATAATAATAAAAATAAAAAACCTGCACGATTCCTCACAGGCACCCCCGGCACAGAACTCCGTACAGAACTCCGCACGAATGTGCGGCTCGTGCGGTTGCAAGTATGGTCTGATTCTGTTATTTCCTTTTTCATCTTCAATTGCATGATTTGTCATTTGATCCACCGAAGACCTCCTCCCTCCCCTCCCTACCTCCCTACCTCACAACCATTCTCCCCAGCGCACCGCCTACTCCCCAGTCTTGCCACAGTACAAGGACCACCACCCAACCACCCGGTGATGGCGGCAGGGTGCGACTGTAGTTGCAGGCATATTCTGTCCTTGCGCACAAAACAAACAAAAAAAAAGAAAAAAACACCAGACCTCAGTTCTTCGCAGAAATTTCACTCTTTGTAATTTACTACCTCTCTAACTCCCTGAAGTTTTTTTTTTCCATAACCAGCAAATATATCTGCTGTTCGCGAGAGCCCAAAATCTTCCGCAGAATGGGGCGCAAAGCTTCCAAAGACACAGCGAGAGGCCGAGAGCCCAAAATCATTTTCTAATTTTTCTTCTCCTTGTTCCCTTTTTTTTTTTTAAGTCGATTCTTTGCTTTTATCCCTATACTCTTAAAGACTACAAAGGGCCCAGCGTGACGCCCCGTGCTGGGCCCAGCGAAAATATGTTCGGAGGCCGACGGGCGGAGCGGGACTGACGGCGAGCGGGACTGGCGCAACACTATTCTATGTGGAGGGCGGCGCGGTCGCGGAGTGCGTGCCGTTTCGGTGCGGAGGCGAGCGGGACTGGGGCAAGGTAAATCGGCGGCGGCGGTGTGGCGGCGGGCGGACTGAAACCGACAGGCCCACCGCACAGGCCGAACCAAAACTCAGCTGTGGCCTTTATTTTTTTTTGCCCGTCGTGTGGGGCGCAGGGGACCGAACCACGTTATCGGAGCGTTGCTTTGCCGGGATCAACGGTGGCCGTGTGTGTGTGTGTGTGTGTGTGTGTGTGTGTGTGTGTGTGTGTGTGTGCGCGTGTGAGAGAGAGAGAGAGAGAGATTGGATGAGATACGCATCGCCGAACAGGTAAGTCTCCAACCCCAAGGCTGGCCTCACGGTACTTGGATCGATAGATGAGCAAAATTGAATGAATCTTCCGCCAGGACATGGAAATATACGTACTACACGTGTGTGTGTGTGTGTGTGTGTGTGTGTGTGTGTGTG